GTTATAAGTTATAACTTATAACCCGGTGAAGAGGGAAGGAGGCATGTATCCGCATGCACTGCAGGAGTCCCATGTGAAGGTCGCCATGCTCCCGGGCCCTGAAATTCCTTGCAAGGGCACTGCACCCCTCGCTGTGAGCCAGATGCCGCCAAACATTGCCAGCAGCAGCAAGATCCCGAAGAGGCCGAATGCGACTTTGGGCCTCGATGATCAAAATGAATGTCGGAAATATCGATGCCTACATAGGTTTGTGCTGTGTAAACAAAAAGAAACATGTTGCAGGGATGGACAAAAACACGGTTGGCCGAAACTTCCTGGCCCAAGCTCGAATCGATTGAAACCCCTCAGCACTGAAGCCGTCCAGCAGCCTCTCCCGGGCTTGCTGCTGAAGCAGCTCGGCCATGCTTTTACACAGCTCCTTGGGCGGCAGCTGCGTTCAGTGTGGATGGCGGCATTGTTTCAGTGTTGCAATGGTAACAACAGCAATAGCAGCAGTACCACGCAGCAGCACCAGCAAAGGCAGCCCAACCGTAGCATAGGCAGCTTCAACAGAAGCAGCAATAGCAGGCAGCACGAGCAGCAGTGGCAGCTACCACAGATCGTGCGGGCGTCTCCAGTCCGCTCACGCAGCTGCTGTGACCACATCGGCACGGAGCCAGTACCGCGTATCCTGGCGCTTCAAGGACGACACGCCTTCCCCCTTGATTGAAGCTCATGGCAAGCTTGACCCCTCATTCGTATCCCATGAAACCTCTACCCTGATAAAGCTTCAGCCTATCAGAAACTATCTGTCGTTTTGCTCTGACACAACACCCGCCCTGGCTTCAATGGCAAAGGGCAGAAAACTGAAATTCCGGGGCTTGGGATCTAGAATTGGCACTCCTTCCATCTCCCCCCACTACAACGCTCAACCTTCGAGCCTGTGTTCAAGTCCAAGCTAGACCGCATAAATGCTCAGAGCCAAAACCGTAGTCCTAGACTTTCAGAATCGTTTATGGGAAGCGACCTGAAGCAGAAAGCTCTGTCCTCCGCTTCAGTTCCTCCGGGTCAACGACGTCGATGCCCGTGGCCGTGGCCGTAACTTCCATGCACCAGAGGCGAGGCTACGTGACAATCGACAGGTTGTGCTACTTACGGATGACGAAGCTGACCCAGGCCGTCAACATCTGACAACAACAACAACAACAAAAGAAGAAGACGAAATATGATCACAGACATGAACCGTACAGCCTGTATTGATAGAACATACCACAAGGTACTGTGGCACTAGTTCTATAGCAAAACGTAGCCCATTCTGTCAAAGACACAGAGCAGTGCAACCTGATAGTAAACAACACATATGACTCAATAGTGGTGCCGAAAGGCAGCAACGACAATAACACAACTGCCATCATCAGACTCACGTATGACAGTTTGCCTAAAGCTGCTATGGCTGCATGAATTCGTACTAGTTACTAATGAATATTATCATATTATCACAATACCAATAATCAAAGCAGCACGTGGGATCGAACACTAGCAGCAACATGAATCTGGAACAGGAGGGCAACTCTAAAACTCTACCTCACAACAATAGCTGCATGAGTCCACGCCGTGCCAAGTAGAAACCACAGTGGCAACGCCTGTCGATGGTTTCGCCGGAGCGGAAGAGGCAGAGGAAGACCTAAGCAAAACAAATGCTTCTGTCGCATGCGAAAGTGCGAACGCATCTAGTGCTTCCCATTTCAAGCTTGTTTGCAGCCACACTGGCAAAGCAGTTTCCCTGAAAGTTCTCATGAACGAAAGCTAGGAACAGCCAAAAAGGCTGCATCGGCTCTGCCTGAGCATCTCTGTTCTTCCTTTGGGAAAACTTATGATTCGGCTGCAAGACTTCAGTTTGGCGACACGTGAGCGGCATTGCCTTGGGGTCGGGGCTTTCTGGAACATGGACTCAAGGTTGTGAATACACAGCTTTCTGGTGCGGGGGAGGAAAAGCCTTGAAGCCTCAAATCTAAAGCTCATCCGTGGACGTTAACCCGGGAAGGAGCTTTGAGAGCCGCCGAGCGACGGGTTTGGGTCGAAGTCGAAATCATCCAACTCAATGGCCTAAGCGTTGAGTGACTGCTGGGGCTGTATCTTCAGGCCCCAGAGCCAAACGAACTCTGGCACCTAAGTTCGTTCCGTTTAAGTCAACTACATGCTACAAGCCTTCCACAAAGACTTCAGCACCAACAGGCCATGCTTCAAGATTTAATAAATGAATTAAGGCTTGTTTTTTTCTTAAGGCTTGACCTTCGGGAGTTAGCCGGGGCTTGACCATGGAGCTCAAGAACGCGCAACTGACGCGGATTCTCGGGGGGGAGGCAGGTTCTGCTTGCCCTTCCGAGGTGGCAAAACCTCCAAGTCACGAACGCCCAGCCTCAACCAACTGAGACTTCACCCTAAGCTTAACACCAAGTGGCCACGGCACGTGGATCACGCCCTGTCCCTGGCCGGGACCTGGCTCCCATCAGCACCTGCCGCCCGGTGCAGAAACAGCACACTGAACTGGAGATTCGAGATCCCACCTTACACTTTGCAAGAGCTTGAGACAAAACCCTTCGCCACCAACCCAAACCTGAAGGGCGTTTGAGTGATGGATCATCAACTGCGTGCTTCAAGCTGGCGCTTGCTAAATTCAACTAAATGGGCCCGCGATGTTTCCTGCAAGTCTGCATGCAGACTCTTGAGACCAGAATGCTATCCTTTCCATATCCATCTAGCTCGCAGATACAACGGAAGACTTCGCTGAAAGATCCGCTTGGAAGCCTACGAGCTGACCATGTCATGTCAATGTCTTGTCTCGACAGAAAAGGCACCGAGGCGATGGAGGCACTGTTGCACAACCCTAATATAATATGGTATGATATAACGAAGCATAATTTAGTATAATATGAGATTATATATATATATATATCATCGCCCCAATCCCTGACCAGACCCCAGAACATCCCCAGCACATCCCTGCCTGTGCCGTGGAAGGCTCGTTGACCAAGTCGAAATCGTCCATGGCTGCGCACCCGAGCTGCAAGCAGCTCCAGCTGGTGTCTGTATGTACGCTTGGGGGTAGAGAGCTTCCGAAGTTCGATCATTTCCGTCTCGGGCCTGGGCTCAAGAGGCAGGGTGCCGGATCTGTGAAAGTGGAGGCTTCTTTTCCGGTCCCCATTTATGCTCGCGAAAATTCCTGGGAAAGCCGGATCTCCTGTGGTCGTTCTTTCAAACGTCTTCGGCTCCCAAGCACCATCCGTCTGCTTGGGAGCATGAAGGCCTACTGGCCCGGCCTAGGGGCTCAAGGTGAATATGGCTTCGCTGCCATGGAACCAGCGCTTCGAGCCGGCGAGGAAATCCTCCAAGTTGCTGCGACAAGGCCAAAATCTCATGAGGCCCTTATGCCGCGTTGAGAACCCCCCGTCTTCTCAATCCTCCATTTCAGAAACAAAAGTGTCCCTTTCGGGCCACGCCAATGCCAAACTTCACGAGGTTCCGAGCCCCGCGCCGCCTCCAGTGGCATTGCCTGAGGCTGTTGGGAATTGGACCGTTCTTGCAAACAAGTCCTCCTGCCTGCCCTGAGTTGTGTTTTCAAGCTGCGTCAAAAGTGTCGCGCGAGGGGGTCAGTCTGCAGTCGATAGTGTGGAGGCTTCGAGAGATCGCACTTCGGAGAGCGACAGCTACAGCTGCTACACTAACAATAAGGAAGGGGTTGCTGCCATGAAAGATCCTGAGGCCTTCCAAGCACTGCACAACTCGAGATCCCACATCCGACCATCGAATGACCCGCCCACATCCCTCCCCCAACCATCCCAAGACCACTGCCGTTGCAAATGAAACAGATGTCCGGGGTCCCCACTCCGTCTTGGACGAGTTGCTGACTGAGTCAGCCCAGCAAGATGCACCTGACGATGATGAAGACCACGCTCTACGCTGTGGAGGAGTGGGAGGAGGAAAGCGAGGCCCGTCCTCGTGAGCCTGCGGCCTCGGGGCTTAGCCTGGGGCCCCCGGCACCGTCACCTCTGTCGGCACCTCGCAGGGCCCTTGGGAAGAGCCGAAAGGACGCAACAATATCCCTGGAGCCGGAACAGCAGAGCGGCCGAGAAAAAACATTAGCGACAACTTTTACTCCTCTCCTGCTGCGGATGCTACCCCAAAGAATACTGCTACTGCCACTGCTCCTGCTCCTGCTCCTGCTCCTGCTCCTGCTACTGCTACTGCTACTGCTACTGCTACTGCTATTGCTACTCCTCCTCCTCCCTCCTCCTCCTCCTCCTCCTCCCTCCCTCCTCCTCCTCCTCCTCCTACGACTCGACCACGACCACGACTACAACTACGGATCGGCTACGCCTACGACTGTGACGACGAAGACGACGACGACGACGACGAAGGCTTCGACGGCCACCACCACGCTTGTTACGACTGGAGACCTTGTAACCGGCATACCCCATCAGCCCCCTCCAGCTTTGTCGTCAACATGTCACCACGCATGTTGATGACAACACCTGGGTTAGCAGCAAGCAAGCCTTAATCCACGAAACAGAAACTCAGAGAAAGTTGACCGGAAGGACTTGCAGGGGTTCAGAGGGTTGTTGGGTTCGTGTTGTTTCCAGAACCTCTCGCAGTCGGGAAGGTAAGAAGACTCGATTAAGCGACGCTTCCACTATCGGAAATCCGAAACTCCATGGAGGGCAACGCAAACTGCAAAGCCTGTTTTCTGTGTCTCTGCTCCCTCGTCTGCTTGCCGCGAGAACCTTTGTCAAATGATGACAGACTTTCTCAGCACATCTATGCTGCCTTCTTCTCGCCAGTCGCAAGTCCGTCCGCTTTGCAAAGTCCAAGGTCAGCGAAGATCCCGTCTGTCAGTTTACGAGCGGAGTGCACAAGCTCCCTGTCGGCGCCGTCAGTTCTCAGGTGGCAGCATAGCCTGCTGGAATCGCGGCGATCATTGGCTTCGCATCGAAGAAGCGCGAGGTGGGGACTGCCTGCTCTCCTCATTCCTGCCGACCCTGGCTGTCAAGCCGGGCGATCCACTGACTCTGCGCCTCCTCCCCTGCTAAATCCAGTGCCGGATGTGGCCGGACCTGGAGAACGCGGGGCTTGAGGGTCGAAGGCTTCCGGACCCTCAAAGCCGAGTGAAATGTCAAAGCTGAAACCAAAGCAACGGAAAAAGCATTGAAAAGCCAGACAAAGCCGAAGCTCGATTCCTTTCTTCTGCAGCTGGACCTGCAGTGCCACTGAGCTGAAGGTTGAAAGCAAGCTGAGGTAGCTAGGCTCGGAGAGTCAACGAAGAGTCCCAGCGCTTAGGATTCGAGCTGGGGGCTTTCGGGCCTTATGTTTGAGCTTGTCTATATTTTCGCTCCACGAACCCGCTGCCAAAATTCTGATGCCATCCTGTGGGCCATGCATCGTCACAGGCAGAGCAACTCGTCGCATGAGGCTTCTGTCTCCCTGCCCTAGGCTTTACCAGCCTCAAACTCGAAACCAAAAGCCCTATAGCATGCCCCAGACAAAAACAACGCAACCTGCCTGTCATTCACATAATCCATGAACCCGAAAGCTGGAACTCAGACCCGAAGCTTCGTGGGAGCCCGAAGCCCCGCAACGGCAGAACTAATTACTGCTGCTACTTCTGCTACTACTACTACTACTACTACTACTACCACTACCACTACCACTACCACTACTACTACTACTACTACTACTACTACTACTACGACTACTCCTCCTCCTCCTCCTCCTCCTCCTCCTACTACTACTACTACTACTACTACTACTACTACCACTACTACCACTACAACCACTACTACCACTACTACCACTACTACCACTACTGGCACTACTACCACTACGACGACGACGACTACGACTACGACTACGGCTACGGCTACGGCTACGGCTACGGCTACGGCTACGGCTACGACTACGACGACGACGACGACGGCGACGACGACGACTAGTACTGCTGCTAGCGCAACCTCTACATGTACTCGTACCGGAACTATATTCAACTTGTATGGAGCCTTTGTGCCGCAGTGTCATCATGTCTGCGCCTGCTAAACTCTTGGAACCGTCAGTGTCATCATTGCCCCGAGCATAGCCACACCTCCACTTCGGCCAGCGGATAGAACACGGGCCTTGCATGATGACATTGACAAAATTGATCATGGTGATGATAGTCATGATGCTGATGATGATGCTGCTGATGGCTGATGATGATGATGATGATGATGATGATGGTGCTGATGGTGACGATGATTTTGATGAGGAAAACGGTAATGGTGGTGATGATGATGATGATGATGACCATGAGAGAAGTAAGTCAAGCCACACAACCCGTAACCATCGACTACCAAAAAATCCAAGCCGAAAAGCCTCCTTAAGGATTGGAAACTGGAAGCCAACTTCATGATGTACCAATAGACTCGACGATGTGGTGTATCCCGACGCTGACCCACCCAATTACCTCCACGAAAGCTTCTAAGACCCCCAGCGAGCACAGAAAGACAAAGAATTGCAAATCTATACATCCCGCAAGCAAGGCTGCGAACACACTTTACAAACAAAGTTGGCCAAGCAAAGCAAAAGCGGAGATGCTGAAATATCTGACAAGATAGAAGCCTATACGTCCAAGCGTGGGTATCCTCGCCGCCTGGCAAATAGCTCCAAGCGAGTGAAGGGCGCCGCAACCACGTGAAGGTGGAGGTGATTGTAGTCCTTGCGTCAAGATTCGAGCGGAGCTGATGTTTTCAGGTCCAGGGGCTGGACAAGGATTCATCAAAAGCCGATTGAACAGCCCAAGCTGCAGCTGGATACGAGAAGCCACAGGCCACCTCAGCTGGCCCCGACTCTGCTGAAGCGGCTGCTCTTCAGGTGCTGGCGCGGAGCTTGAAAACGCTTACACAAAGTAAGGGCCGAAGGAAAGGGTGACATGGTGGTAGTACAGAAAGTAAATGATGGCTTCTGGACAGTGGTGTCTATGATGCTACTGATATTCCGGGTGAGTTTATTGCACACCAGGCCACGAGAGTGAACGTCACCCCGATGTGGAAGCTTCACAGCCGAAACACAGACAAGCTGCAGAACTACAGATCAGAACCGAGTAATCCCCTTATGGAGGTTTCGCAGGCGCCAGCCATTTTGGCATTCTTGTGCTGCATGTTAACAGTACTTCGAAAGCCGAGCCCCAGGTAGTGGCATCGCCCAACATCAAAACCAGCCGTTCTCACTTGGACACGTTCGATTCTGCAAGCAGCAGGCTAGACACACATCAGTTGCAACATATCAAAACCAACCCTTCCCCGCGTAAACCCACAATTTCGCAAGCACTCGCTCAAGACACACATCAGCGGCATTACAGCAAATTCAACACAACCGTTCCCCTTGTAGCCGCTTTTTACTACACCCGAAATCCCGCAAGCGGCGTGCGTGTACCCAGCACCGAGAAGCGTGACCGAACGGGTTTGAAAGGTGAAGGCAATTGCCTACCCACACTCAAACAACCACCATTAACAAGCATCAGCTGCGCGAATTCTCTCTGTCTCTGTCTCTCTCTCTCTCTCTCTCTCTCTTTTTCTTTCGCCAGAGCTCGGGGCAACGGGACAAGTCCTTTCTCTCTCTCTCTCTCTCTCTCGCTCGTTTCGTAAAAAAGAGCCGGGATCACACCTGGGTGATCCTGGGTGTGATCCTCGACCCAAAATGGCCATGGATCAAGGTTGACCACGCTTAGCAATTATCATAACAACACTGACACCAACGGGAGATCCCGAATGCTGAGGCGGTCGTAAGGTGATTAAGAACTACTGTCCAATGACGAGTCTGAGGACTCTGTCGAAGCAGACGTGGCGTAGTTAACTACGAGCTCGACCGACCTCGAAACAAAGCCCTCGGTCGGTGTTGCTGTCCACCGAACTCAACAACTTGCGGTCTCTACCAAAAAGGGTAGGAGCAGAAAGTCCTCCAGAGCCTTGGGTGTAAAGCTTGCTGTGGGTCAGAGAGGTTGGTTCTGCAACGATAAACCCTGCCACCAGGAGACAGGTTCAAATCAGCATTTCTTGGGAGCTTTCTGGGATCAGCGGGGGCAGAAGCAGCTCGCAAACCACCATCCACTCCTGCTCCGGGATGGCGAGTAGAGGCTTTGCCTGTGTGAGCACGGCTTCCAGTCCAGCTCTTGCCTAGCTCTGGGCTAGCGGCAAGCGAGTCCCTGTGCCCGGCTTCAATGGCCAACTCCGTGAGCAGCCTCGCGGATGTACCGCAAAATGACGTCCGAATCCCATCTCCCAAAAATCTGTATTCTCCACAGTTCGATGCCCGTCGAAGCCATGAACTGGGCCCCTTGGAAGGTCCCTGCTTTCGCCGGCGGCGCCCCTCTAGCATCACAGAAGAGTCCTCAGGGCCTCGGGTATGGTTGTGGCAAAGCTTCGGGAGTGTTACCGGAGGCTGTCACATCCGTTTTGATGGCAGCAACCATGCGACCGTTTTCGTTTCCCGGTCAAAAATAAGATGTCTGATCTGGGCATGTGATGCCTCGACAGAGTTTCTCCATGGGGGCTGATGTTTGGCTCGGCCGTGATCTCTTCTTCGTCCGGCGGGTTAGGAGGAGCGGGCCCTCGTGGAGCACAGGCCCCGGTGTGGATGCCCTGCGGGTCCGTCTTTTCAAAGTTGGTCGGGAACTGGTTGTGTTCCTCAAGGAGTAGTTCCCGTAGTGGGGGAAGGCCGCAGAGCCCACTTCTCGAAGCCTGGATCGGCTCCGAAGCTCTCCAGACGGATCGCCAGAAGCCCAAAGCCCAAATGCAACAGCACAGTGCCAAGAGCAGGAGGTCCAGTCCCTGAGGCTCCCAAATCCCGAGCGGCCCTCCTGAAAACCAACTCAAAAGATTCAGGAACGACCATCAGGTCCATGAACCCCTGCCCACCCGTTGCTGAATCACCCCTCCTCAAAAATTTCGAGTGTGATCCCTGACCCAAAATGGCCACGGATCAAGGCTTTCCCGCCGACCACGCTTAGCAATTGTCATAACAACACCAGCAGGCTTCTGTTTGACACTCAAGTTGGGCCTTCGCGAGTTCCGTGCGACCATATGTGAGCCTCGTGTAAGCAAAAGAAGGCTGTTTCTGCCTGCACAGTTATATATGCACGCATACACACAAGCAGGAAAAGCCAATATAAACCACCACGTAGGCGCTCTTTGCAAACCACACCAAGCAGCACGAATCCACATGGACACGGTAGAATCTAAGGGATAAGTGCGATCAACAATAACTGAAAGCAGCTCACACAAATCCCCATAAGAACGCCGTGAAAGCAAAAGCAAGAGCCCGAAGAGGACAAACTCCCATGTAGATGCCGTGTAGGCTACACACCTCGCGACAACATAGAATTCGGAACCCTATGCAAACACTCAGATGTAGAAAGCAGGTACGAATAACCGTGTAGACGTACTGTAGACAACAACCCACTAACAACTGCAGAAATCACGAGTTCACATGAAAAATGCCTCCTTCGACTGCAAGCACCATGCTGCGGCGAATGCAAAACATGCAGAACCCCAGTGTGGCGCTAGACAGACAGGCAGGCCAGGTGCCAAGTAGTCGACTTTATGGACGGAAAACACACAGTTCCCAGTGACAAAGTATTGTTGCGACTCTGGAACAGCTATCACCGTAAATCTGGCCGGACAACTGATCGTAGCACTGCCAACATGCTCAACACCATGTAGATATGGTCTCAAATTAGAGCGAATACCCCCGATACAACATCAGATATGTGCTTAGAACTGCTTTCCCCGACTGTGGACACCGATTCACGTCTAAAAAACAGAGCGAATTGAGAACAAACCCTAGTATGACATATGCAAAGGCTCAGTTTTCAGAAACATTGGGTCGCTGAGCACCAGCCCTGGAATGCTTTCCAAACATTCCTGGAAGTTGTAGATGCTGGGTGGATTGATTCGGGTAAATCACCTTCTGTAACCCAATGCAGGCCCCGGCACCGGTGGGTCGGGTGCCCCCTCAGGCAACATGCATAGGGTCCGCAGGCACTCCATTGCCTGGTCGCAGTGGTAGCAGTAGTCGTAGTGGTGGTGGTAGCGGTAGCCACAGTCGTAGCCGTGTCAGCAGCAGCAGCAGCAGCAACAGCAGCAGCAGCAGGAGCAGAAGCAGGAGCAGCAGGAGCAGGAG